GGTCCCGTGGAGGCGGCAGAGCCCTCCACACACACAGGCCGAGCGTCTGTCAGGAATCAGGACGCATGTTCATTATTCCTGGGTGTTTTTGTAAATCAGTCATGGGGCCAAGGAAGGAAACGTTTACTTATTTCCAACCACAATTTCTACCAATAAAATAACAGCCCAGACCGTCTCCTAATCTGTACACCTGCTCTCCCATCACCAAGGCAAACTAAGTCGCTCTCACTGTTGGAGCCTCTGTGGGTACGTTAGGGACGCTGAGTAGCTTGGAAGACAGCCCGATCCTCCCACAGGAAAGTCTTCCCATCTCTGATTACCTCCAACTCCGCTTCTCAGTTAGCTGGTTGGAAATGAGAATGTGTTTCCCACCGAAGTTTCTGTGAGTGTTCGCTGAACCAGCAGCATGTGCTGAAACCAAAAGCACTGGGCCAGACTCTTACCAACGCGTGTGTGCGCCGACCAGCAGAGCTCAGGACCCGACTCCGGCCACGCTGTGCGGGACAGGCGATCCAGGCCCACTTCCTGGCTCTCACAGGTTTCTGCCTCAGTGGTTCTGGGGGCGGAAGTTGCCTTTCTTGTAAATTTCTGGATCCTGCTGGTTCAGTGCCCACAGTGTGAGAATCACTCGTCTCACACATGCTTCCTGCCGATTTTGTAAAGCAGTGGAGCCCCTTGTCAGCTGAGAGAGGCTTCCGATGTAGAAGGACTGCGTCCCTCCGGGGCCTTGGCCTGCCGCGCCCCCTCCTGCCCGCCGCAGGCTGAGAGAGCCGGGTCTTCGTGGGCTTGTGCCGACACGGCCGGTCTGCCTGAAGACAGTCTGTGTAATTGTTCTCTAGCAACGCGTTCCAGGCACTTAAGAACCTACTTCTGGGCATTTACCTGAAGGAAGTGAAGTCATTGCCTCAGGAGGCACCTGTACTCCTTGCGACGCAGCGCTGGTCATGCAGCCGAGACCTGGGAGCAACTCAGTGTCGATCTACGGACGAATGGACAAGAAAATGTGATCTCACATGCATGTCAGGTGTCGGTGCGGAATATCCAAGAGGACAGACACAGTGGATACTATTCCGCCATAAAAGAAGGAAGTCCTGCCAGTGGTGACCTTGAGGCCATCTGCCCACTGAAGTTACCAGCCAGGGAAAGACAAGCAGTTCATGTTCCCAAATGAATGTGGCCTCTGAAAAGGCCGACCTCATAGAGATGGGGCAGACTGGTGGTGGCCAGGGGCTGGGGAGGTGGGGGCGGGGAGATGTCGGTCAAACGGTACACACTTCCGACTACAAGATGAGCAGGTGCTTGAGGGGTTGCGCCCAGCATGGGACTAGAGGTAGCACTACGGTTGTGCTCTGTGCTCAGAACTGTTCAGAGAATCGAGCTTAAGTGTTGCCACCACACCCCAAACTGGGGGCCCGGTAATGGAGATATTCCCTGACCTTACTGTGGCGCTCCTTTCACAACATACATGTGTATCAGATCGTCCTGTCGTGTCCCTTAACCTGACACACGCTGCAGGTCAGTTCCGTCTCAATGAGCTGGGGGTGGGAATCTGATCCGGGCTCTCCACACCGGTTCTTAAAGGGACATACAGCCTGGGTGCTCAGTCTCCAGTTTGTCGCTAAAGCGGGGAGGGGCGGTCCAGCTTGAAGGGTTTCTGTTTGACTCGCCCTCTGTCTTCCAGATCTCGGCCATGTACTCATCTGTCAATAAGCCTGGGCAGTCGCTCAAAGTGCCCGAGTCCAGCAACACCTGCAGCCCGGGAGCTGCCCGGAGGTCCCCGTCGTCCTGCAATGACCTCTACGCGACTGTCAAAGACTTCGAGCAGCCTCCCAGCGGCGCAGGCACACCGGCCCCGGCAGCGAGGCCCCGGGAGCCCGAGCCCGACTACGAGGCCATCCAGGCTCTGAGCCGAGAGGACGAGAAGGCCCCCCTGGAGCCCAGCGGCCTGCGCGGCCCCTTCCCAAAGGAGAACGACTACGAGAGCATCGGGGACTTGCAGCAGTGCCGGGAGGTCACCAGGCTCTAGCAGCCCCTGCAGCGGTCGATCGGGGACAGGAGACCAGGGCGCTGTCCCTCCGCGTCACGTGCTGCTTCCTGGGCCGAGGGCATGAAGACTCCGGGACGGAACAGGAAGGCGCTCACCTGGCTGCCAGTGCATCCTGCCTGCCAGGCACGGCCACACCCGGCACAAGGCCCCGTGTTCCCACACCCTCGACGGGTCCCAGCGTCAGGCGATATGCCGTTCGGGAGAACCAGGTTCCCTTCTTCCCGCTCTTGGGGCGTCTGCTCTGGTCCCCTGGAAACCGCCCCATTTCTACTGGCTCCTTCCAAGGAAGTCGCCCACAGGGCTTGGCCTTCACCTTCAGCGTAGGTGTTTTCAGATCTGTGGTTGCCGCGCCCGAGGGATCACCCAGCGCCTGCCCTCGAGGGCCGTGGGTCTCCGTGCCTTCTGATCCGGGCACTCCATGTCAGCAGCTTCTCCCAAAGGACTTGAAGTCACTTTTAGATGCTTTATTTTATTTTTCTACCCCCACTCCCGTGTTTGAAACTTCAGAACCTTTGCAGTATTTGCGGTGAGTGCTGTGGTACTTCCATACTTGTTGGAGCCCGGAGCACACAGCTGGACGCCGTGCCGCCGCCTGGCAGGGCTGTGGACTTGACCGTGTGTCTCTGAGGAGCTGTGCGGCCACACCAGCTGCGCCGGGCCCTCACGGTAACGGCCACCCTAAGGTCATCTAGCTGAGAGTAAAATGTAAACATTTATTTTTGTTATCTAAATTTATAAGATGTCTTATGTTTAATGCCTAATTTCTAGAAAGTGTCAGAAAAAAATGTATATTAACTATTTTGATTTTATGTACAATGATTTATACTCTCATTTTGAAAAAAATCACCACAAAGCACATAAGCTAGGTACTTTCTAGTTGTCATTATCGTTTTTCTAATGAAGTATTTAAAACATTGAAGGTTTTTAAAGACTCAGACTTTTCCAATGGTACTTGGAGCTCTTGGAATAACCATAAATGGTCGTTTTCAGTGGTTTGTGATGGGAAACATGTAAAAGTTTGAGATGGTGAAACGGGAAAGAAGAACAAAGCCTGACCGAGGTGCCTGGGCCACTTCCCGCAGGGCCATCCGCGGCAGCTCCGGGAAGGCAGCGTGATGAGCGGTCACTGGGGGAGCAGGGGGTCTACCGGATTCTCCCCCCTTCACTCTACAGAGCTCGGTGTTGGCAGTTACTCAGGTCGAGAGATCAGCTGGTTTGAGTTTAACCATCTCTTTAGAGGTCAGGAGGCCAACTGTGGGACTTGCTCACTTTTCCCTCTACAAGGAGCGCCGTGGGCCAGGCCAGCGTCCGAGGTGGCTGTCCCGAGAGGCCCCTGGCACCTGGGAGGGCTCGCCACTGGTGTGTCATCACTGTTTACACCTTACAGTTCAGTATTTCATAAATCCCATCACTTTTACTGTATTTGTTGCAAAATCTGTGCTACAGTCTTTGAATTGGACAAAAGCCATGACTTCTCTCAAAAAAGGTTTTCATATTTAAATGCTACAGTTTAAACATATGAAAGGTAATTCTCAAAAAAAAATTGCTGTATCTTTAAAATTCAACTTTGGCATCCATATTAGGCACTGCATTACAATAACTTAGTTTATGTGAAATTATACAAAAAGATAAAAATAATTTTTAGGAAAACCTTTTCATCTCCTAAATCAGAATTATAAACTTATCTTGCTTAAAAATAGGATCTTTGTCTTTGTTCCGATATTGGTTACATTTACAAGAATTTTTTCCCGCTGCTTTGACTATTTCTTGGATACAGTGAGCAGGAAAGTGTCGCCTGTTTTATGTGAAATGTTTGGGTCCATGTTGTAGGTGTTTCCACGTGCATTTTTCCCCTGCCTGCGCACTCCGGAAGTTGCTGCTCTCCTTCATGGGGAAAAAGCAAATTACTGATTTATTTGCTCTCAAAATCCAAGAGTTCATTTGAATTGAGAGCAAATTAGCAATAGGTAGTCAACACAAAGAAATAAAACACAACCTCTGTTTCTCATAGTGGATTTTCATTTTTTTAATTGGAGCATTTACTAACTTTAACCAGTAACAATATATATATATGTCATATATATATGACATATCTATATCTATTTGTAGATCTAGATATAGATATATCTCATATATATGTTCTGGTGCTTAATTAATTCGGATACATCCTATTATCCTATTTAGTGTTTTGAATGTTTATTTTACTCGTGTGAAGACTATCATCAGAGAAGCAGGACAGAACAATCTCCAGTAGCTTTCACTTGATAGCTGTAGGAAAACCTTCTCAAGTTGCCCTCATTTAATTTTTCTAATGAATAAATTCAGACTTTAAATCAAATCCATAATTCCTTCAGCTGTACAGCAGTGGTATTTTAAGTAGTTGTATTACCCATGGGACTCGGACAGGTGTTGGAGAAGAGATCTGGCCAAAAGCTCCAGGAGCCGGGACGGGCACAGCAAGGGGACCCGACCCGCAGGTCCCAGGGCAGAGCCACTCCCGTGGGGCCATTTCCCACACTTGCTTAGAAACCACAGAGTCCGCAGGCGCATGCAGTGAGCTGTGGGAGGTGACTGCTCTGAGCTGAGGGCCGGGCTAGCATCACAGCTTTGTGCAAGACTGCACTAGGACTTTGTAAATGAGTCAGCAACAGTTTTCAGTGCTTTGTGTGTTGGTGTGACTCCGTGGACCCGGGGATGTCAGGCCCTGATGGTGCCCCACCAGCTTCGGCGATAAACCATGGGTACGACAAGCTCACTGTGCTGTGTGATCGGGCAAAGCTAACGTGTCACATGTGCTGTCAATAAGAGATGGATGTGAAAATGGGAACCTGTGTCTGTGATATCACATGTGGCTTCATTCACTTCCTGGGCCTGAGGCGGCGCTTTTTGCTCTGTGTTGTACCTTTCTTCGTTCTGCTGCTTCTGACCAAGGCGTTAGGCAGGTGTCCACACTTAGAAAGTATTTGAGGAAGAGGTCAGTCCAGAAACCATGATAAATTGGAGTCTTCATCCGGAATTACCAAAGGAGACTAAATGAAATCATGGCCCAGAGAGCTTCCTGCTGTCTCTTTAAGTCTCTTTACATCTCGTCTCCATATTTGTAATGGATTTTGTTGGTTTTCCAGGTTTTTCTTTCATTTAACCAGGAAATGGTAGTTCAGACTCCTCGTCATGCCAGATGAAATGAGAAATGCAATTTTTGTTAAAAGCAATTTTTTTCAAAGCTTTCAATTTCTTAATCATTTATCTTAATGTGTTAGATTACTTTTTTTGCTGCTCATAACTTATATATACATGGCTATTCTTTTTAATGTATTGGGCTCTGCGTGTCTTAGATTACCTGTGTACTGGATTATAAAGGCTGGTAATTGTCATTCCTCAGACTTCTGTATGTTGAAGTGGCAACAGTAAATTTTTTGATGTTACCTTTTAAATAATTGTGTAGTACTGATATGCCTCATATGTTCAGGAGAAGCTTGAAACATCACTAAACAAATAGGAATTTGCATTTCACTGTTCATGCATTTTTTTTCCTCATAAAAATAAGTTTCCCAAAAAGTGACTTATTGTCTGTTAGGTGGTCCTGAGGGGTTGCACAGTCCTCCTCTTACTCAAGAGGTCTCTGTGGTGGTCAAATTGTCCAATTCACCAATGAGTGGGGAAGCTGTTTTCAATAGTGGGAATTTTTAAACCTTAGTTTTAGTCCAAAAATACCTGGGATGGGCTTCCACAGCTTGTAGTGTTTCCCTTCAGGGCCAGCTTAAAGATGGTAGGCAGGAAGGCACTACTGCTTCCCGTCTCCACGGGCTCCTCCTGCACAGGTGACCTTCTGTCACTTTGCACAACACGACCCCTGAGCCTCTTCCCACACCAGCCCCTCCCAGTCTGCCGCTGTGGGAAGGACGCCCTATCACGTCCATCTTCTCCAACACCAAGCATGGCCCCTGCCTCCCCAGAGCCGTCCCCTCCCAGGTGAGCAGACACCCCCCCCTCACCCCCAGCTCAGTTTCCTGCCCTGCAGGCTGCCAGGCATGGCCCAGGTGCACCTGGGGAAGCGGACGCGGGTGGTCTTGCTTGCCCGCACCTCTCATGAGCGTGGTTGGCGCTGAGGGGCCGTGGGGAAGAACCTTTGCAGTTCTGTTGAGAACTTGAACTCACAAATGCAGACACACGCTCCCTGACCATGCTCTCCTGGGGAGCTCGGCCCCCACAATGCACTGGGACTGCCCTGTCTCCCGGGGGTCCCGTGAAAGTCGAGCTCTGTGGTGGACCAGTGGGCTCCTGTAAGGTAGGACGCTGGCTATTTTAAGCGGAAAAACCCTCTCTTGTAAGAAGTAATCATTTATAAAAACAAACTGAGTGTACCTTGTGTGTTTTGTCAGTTCTACCTAGTTTGAGGTGCCCTCCAGTCCCAGCATCGTGCTGGAGTTCCCGGCCATTTCCAGGCAAACTGGCATTGTCGAGTCAGGCCGCGCCCGGTGAATGGGGACACGGGGCCTGAGGGTCTGGACACCTAAGATCCACCACCTTCCGTTTGGATGGTTTTGTTTAGTGTTGATTTTTTGAAGTTCACTCTAAGTGAACGTAACCCCATAGTTAATTATCCAAATGGATAATCAGGAGTGTAATTTCTTCCAAATTGACAGAACAGACAGCTGCTCATTCTCATTATATATTGACTTTCAAAAGCCCACCCACTATACCAGGTCGGCCGCCTGAATAAGACAGTGAAGGCGGAAAGAGACCAGCCCTGGCCCCTGGGGCCTGCACTCTGGACCACCAGTCGGAATGTCTGCTTTTGTTTGTGGTTTTTTAACTTCGGGAGGCTGGCCCCAGCCCGGAGTCTGTCTGAGGACTTCGGACGTTCCTTCGACAGGTCTGCGTGTTTTCAATGAGCCTGCGCGCTGTGCGGGCCCCGCCGCAGCTCACTCACCTGCACAGCCCACGTTTGCACACACTCCTCCTGTGCTGCTCCGGCAGCTCCTGGTCCTGGGGTGGGGCTGCCCGCAGGGCTTGTCCCTGGGGAGGAGCAGAGAGAACGGCAGGAAGGCCGAGCTTTGTGAACAACAAGCATTTGGGAGAGTCTGTCTGCTCAGACTTGGACACTTATTTCTATTTTTTTTTTCCGAGTCCCAACCACAGACTTGCTTCTGGGGGTGGGCAGGGCAAGGATCAGAAGTAAAAACTGAGCTAAGTGACAGGGCCAAGGCTGCCTGCCCCATCCCCTCGGTGTTTCTGTGTCTGGAAAATGCATTATCCCGACTCCCTGTCCACCACGGAGTCCCTTAAGGAGGGAGCCATACGCAGGTAGGGAGGAGAGGCAACTCGGAGACTTAATTATTGTTTAGATATTTTCTTCTTTGTCAACTCAGGAATCAGCCTGGTTTGTGGGTAGCATAATATGGCTAATTGAACTACAACGTGTAGGTCGCTGGACACGTCCTTTCAACGTTTTCATTTAAAGGCTTCTGACTGTTCTAGCTGGGAAGAGATATCCCTCCTAAGGGGGAAACTAATCTCACAAGAGACTTCCATAAACTCTTTCTAGAAGAGTGTACATCAGCCAGCATCTACCCCCAGAGTATGTGTTTCTTATCAATAGTATTTCAGCAATTTTTATGGGAGAAAAAAATGCACATTTTTTTATTTCCTGGGAAAGTGAATTGAGGCGTTGAATTAAATTCTCAGAGGGGTTCGTTGAAAGGGAAGCACTGGCCTTGGAGATGAGCTCTTGGCTCCATGGTCCCTGTTCCAGCATCGACTTTACTGTGTGACCTTGAACAAACGAATTAACTTCTCTGTGCCTCCGCTTCTCCACGTACACAAATGGAGATCATGAAACCAACCACTGCCTACCTCATAGGGACGTTATGGGGACAAATGGGACCATCTGGAGGAACACCAATGCTTCGAACTCTGGAAGAAGGTGCTACAGGAATTGACAGTGTATTGTTTTTTCTGACCCA